GATTAATGTTTTTGGCTCTCTCATACGTGTTGATGTTCCACTTGACATCGAACCACTGCACTCTCCTCTGTGATGAAAGCTCCAGAGAGTGAGCGACTTGCTTGGCCAAGTCACCTTCCAAAGTAGAACTAACATTCTTCAATATTTCCTTTGAGAAATCTTTAGCCTCATCTAAAATGTCTTCTCCTTCCAAAGATAGACACGAGGCCTCAAAAAGCTCAAGCAATCCTTTGACATCCACCCAATCGCTCTTTGCAAATGTACCATTTTCATCCAAAAAGTCACTGAACATATCTGAGTTGCCAACATCAAATTGAAGGTTAGATTAAGATACAGGTTTTTTATTTAGCGTACATATTCCTTTAGATTAATCAAAATATACCTTGTGAAACTTGGTAGCCATACTGCCGCAGGAGCCTAAAACGCAATGCAACGCTATAGAGATCATCATTTAAACCATCCTGCCTGTTCTGGGCAGATACCGCTACCCTTTTTAAAGCCTTCTGAATTCCCTCCTCAAAGAGCTCAGAAAGACCAAGCTTCGTTACACTATCAATCAGCTCAAGCTTAGCCAATTCATGAACTTCTTCAACAAGCATTGCCTTCACATCCCCTGTGAGCTTCTCAATTCTTCGTTTATATTCCTCTTCCTGTAAAATTAGCATAAGATTTTTGGATAAAACATTGCGTTAATGGTAGAAAATGGTGCTCATATATTACATATATTAAATTCATTCTTTTTTATAAATATGGAATAGGAGCGTGCACATGGAAAGAGACTAATTCTCACATCAAATTTGCTGCAGAGGGATTCTAAGAAATCATATTTCCAAATGTTTGGCCTATAATTGGCGGACCGCCTTTGCTCAAAGGCTTCCGGAGCAATCATTTGGCAACTTTGAATCTGCTGTTCCATGGTGATTATTAATTTAACTGAGTGGCAAAGAGAACTTCTAAGAAATCAGAGAATGGTTTATTAACCTGATTTCATTTGCACTGATTCTATAGCTTTTTATAGGCATCAATTTCTAATACAAAGAAACCGGAGGTGGTTGTCCCAAACCGATTGACAGTGTTAGACATG